ACTCCTTTATCTTGAATAAAGTGTTACTTAAATATCATTAAGTACATTAATGATATCTGCCTTGACGATGCGTTTCATACTTTTCTGGACCTTGACAGTGTTATTTACTTGGCAGTCAATGGGACAGTCACAAGCCTCACGGTTTCATCCAAAATATCTTAAATTGTGTTCCGAAGACGAACTAAGCTTTTACGGGTTTGGAACGACATGGGGGTAAGTGATTAATGACAATTTTTATTATCTAGTGTATTGGTAAGGATTTTTGTCTATGCTCACGCGGGTTGTCAGATTGAGGACACGTAACACAACGAGCACAAATGTCAATGGGAGATGGCTAACCTGTAAACGGATGAGTTGATTCGAGTTATTATATGCTGTTGTTATAGACCTTTAAATGGATGCTGAAGCTTTTAGGCTAGGTAGAATCTGCGATATCTGATCCGTTCATTGCTCGCTTCTATGGCTGCAGTACGCTAAGTTTGCTGCAAACTAGGCTGCCACTTCTAGTGGGTTTTCTGCATCTTTTTCAGGTATTGCATTAAAGGGGCTTGCTGCTCTTCTTGGGTGGAGTATCCCTTTAATTTAGGCATCCATAGTGTTGCCATAGAAATGCACAGTTCCCGGTCCAAGGACATGAACAGCTCTAAGAACATGGTGTGAACGCTGCATATGATCTTGAGTATTTGACAACAGCATTATCTAACTGACTTGATAATGTCTTTATCTATCTGTTTCTTCCTCTGTTAGGATGCAGCTGACAAGACAGACTCCAGTAAGAATTCTCAGCATTGATCAAGCAAGTCGACATCTAAACCCATCTAGAGTGGGAATCATCTTGGAAGAAAACTTTGTAATGGATGAACTGACCGATCTCAGGCCTTCTATGTCCATTTTTTCAGACTGATTTATGCCCTGCACCTGGACTAAGTGAATGAAAATCACTTTATATTTTATTCAGTAGGTAATGCTCAACCTCGGAAAAGGTGAGTTAGCACCTAAAATTTAGTACTGCCAATATTGTGAACACAGTGACATAAAACCATATAGTTTTGATGCCGTTTGTTGTGATTCTGAGATAAACTGTTTTATGTTAGTTTGTTAAACTATTTTTTTCATGTTTTATGGGGAAATGTTTTGTTTTTTTAATTAATCATTTTTTTAAGAAAATTACATGAATGTTCCTTTATTTGTTTGCTTTTTTTCTTAATTTTCTAGTTTAACAAATTGGAAAAATAAAACAACTGATATAGATTTAACTGGGAAATTACACTGAAAGAAATGTTTTATTCATCCAATTAAAAAAATGTAGGGTAATGATTCACATCAATGTTTTTTAACTTGAGCCAATGAAAAACAAATAACTAGTCCTAAACAATATTTTCTATGTCTATGAAAACTATAAAAAGAAATGTCTTAAATGAGGATTTTTGTTTTGATTAAATCTATATTTTTTTGTTTGGATCAAAAATAGAATTTAAATTAATTGACTTTCTTCAACAAGAAAAATATACGTTGTGCCAGGTTTTATAAAATAGTTTTCATAGACATAGAAAATATTGTTTAGGGCAAGTTATTTATTTTTCATTGGCTCAAGTTAAAAAATATAGATGTGAATCATTACCCTACATTTTTTTAATTGGATGATTGAAACATTTTTTTTTCAGTGTACACAGTGTCGGATAAGAAACTGAGAAGCATGTTGAACAGATACAGACTCAGCGGACACAAGCTGATGATGGAGACAGGCAGAAACAGAAAAACATGGCTGCCACCGGAGAGAAGATTGTGTTCTGTGATCTGAATCAGATGGAAACAGAACTGCACTTCCTCACAGAATGCTCCCGCTGCAAAAAAAAAAATTAAAAGTTGAGTTAACTTAAAAAAATTAAGCAACCAGCTGCAAAGCATTTTTGTAAAAGTTGATTCAGCTTTATTTTCATCTTTTAATTTAGCTATGAATAATCTTGCATCCATATTTCTCAGCCATGCTGTAAACCATGCTGTAAAAACAATACAAAAGACTATGCCATCATTACAGAAAATATTCACAATTTGTCACATTGAGGACCCTTAATAGGCAAAAGAACACTTTCCTTTCTTCTTGGAATGCTTTTAAAGTTATTTTACAGCACAACATCTTTTAAAGTGCTGGAGTAACAAAGTACAAGTCTTAAAGTGCTATATCTATGAACAAGACTTCAGGATTCTAAAAATGGCAACAAATGTGTTTGAGCAATCCAGTTTTACAACTGTAAAAACAACATTTAAGGTTCATTACATTAAAATTGAAAATATTTCCTCTTTTGACATATGTTGAACTTTTACGGAAACATCAGATGGAACAACAGGAACAGCTTAGTGCTTGCCCTTCTCCGTATGCTTATCCGTATCCAGCTATTTAGACATTAACAGTTTGTTTTTGAAGGACTGGACTCTTGCTGAGCACTGGGGGTCAAGGCCAATAAACACCTTTTGAATCATTTCAAAGGTGTACTTGAGTTTTTTTAGGATAGTTCATGTTTATGGCAAAAATCAAGCCAAAGAGAAGAGTCATAGCAGTGGGAAGGTCTTGCACATTATCCAGTACGATATGCTCCTCTAGAACCACAGACAGGCACCTTACATTTGGGTTTGAGTGGATGGTCGCAACGTCATCTTCAACGATGGTTAAGAGCCTCATCTTCATCCCCTTTGTATGATTTTCTTCTGGCTCCGTGTCCGGCAGTAAAAAGCAGCATAAAACAAGGTCAAAAGCCATTTTTTATTTGAATTCTGCAACTGCATTCTACGGAAGTTCTAAGCGGCCATGCATTAATTTTTTTTTCCTTCTTGTTTTCTCGTTATAACGACTTATTTTCTCGTTATATCGACATAACGAGAGTTGTTTTCTCGTTATAACGACTTATTTTCTCGTTATATCGACATAACAGCATGGCCGCTTAGAACTTCCGTAGCATTCAGTACAGTAAGGGCGAAAAACACAAGGGTAAGTAAATCATTTCATTTGTTGTTTATATTTTCTATATTAATTTTCTGGTGTATTATTTCATATTAATCTCACTTACCCTTGGCTTTTGCTACATTACTGCTTAATCTTATGATTGTGTTGTGTGCTGTATTCTTTTCACAGGTTGGATATCAGATGGAATGTCTCCATCTCAAGGTTTTCAATGTCTCAGGACAGTGTTTTGCAGCAGTAATTAACTATTATCTTTGCTTTAGAATAATACTTTGAATTGTGTTTTCAGATGAAATCAGAAATCCAAACACTGAGAAACTCAAATAAACTACTTTTACCATCTCCTATGTCATGGCAGATAGTAGAGTTAATGGATTAGTTTTGGATTCCAGACATAACTGTTACCCCGATAGGATCTAGAGATGGATTTGAAGTATAAATGTATGTGCTGATAAATCATCTTACCAGGCAAGTCTTCAGGAAATGTTCAGAGGTCTGAGAGACAAAGAAAGACAAACATGGAAAAAATGATATGCATCGATGTGGAATATGGAAAAATGACTGAAATATGGGGAAAAAATTTTTTTGTTTAGATTGATTCTCAAATTCCTACATTACCTACATTACACACCAAAAGAAAGTCAACCCAACAAATCATAATAGGTTCCCCTTAATGAGAGATATAGGAACACAATCTAAATAATTACCTGATTATCAAGTTGGTCTAGGAGGGTCTTCATATTATCTCCATATGCTCCGCCTATACAACTTGGTCATCCAGAGTAGGGCTGTCGCGATAACCGCAATATTGTAATACCGCGCTATTGACGAGCAAACCGCAGAGGAAGGAAAGCAACCGCAGAAACCGCGGCAACCGCAGTGTTCACGTTTTTTTTTTCATAAGGCTGTGGCCTTCTTTCTGTTTTACAATTCATCACTGTGCATTGAATGTTAAATAAATTAATAATGATACAAGAGGTTTGTCATTTGGGGTTTCGTTGATTTTGAATACTGAAACGATGGCAGGCGCTCTCGTTCAAAAACCTAATGTCACGTCGCCAGTTTGGGAACATTTCGGCTTTCAACCCAATGAAAAGGGAGAGCCAGCAAATTTAGATGAACCGATATGCAAAATTTGCTGCAAAAAGGTCCCTGTGACACGCAGCAATACATCTAATTTGAGGTGTCATCTCGCTAACTGTCATCCAGCTATTGACGCGCAGCTGCCTCCTCAAGCATCAGGTCACAGAGCAACATCAAAAAGAACAGCTGAGGCCGGTACCAGCCGACAGTTAGGAGTAGCTGAAGCCTTTGCGAAATCTGTCAAATACAACCGTGAAAGTAACAGGTATAAATGCCTTACAGCCGCTGTTACGCAGTATCTAGTTGAGGAGATGGT